CTTCTGAAATCTGTGCTATGCTTGCCCTCTCCGTGTCTGGTGTTGAGCCCACCCCCTAGACAAGGGCTAAGACCTAGCTCGGTATGTGGAAGAGGGAAGAACACTGGAATGGGAGTCAGATAGGCCTGGATCCTACCCTGGCCCCATTGCTGCCTCCCTGTGTCCACTTCCAAGCCTGTTTTCTTATCCCTAAAACAGAGATAACAGTAGGACCTGTCTTTTGGTGTCATGAAGTAATGGATACACAGTGCCCTGTACACAGTCAGAGCTCAGTGGTTGCTGGCTGCCCTCCACCCCCAAGTCTCAATTTCCCCATCTGGGTGACCTTGAGAAAATTACTTCCCTTCTTGCTTCATTCAGTCTTTTTCTATAAAATGGATGGGGCTTGGTACAGAGTCCTTCCAATGGTGACCTTTGCAGTTCTGGCCCCAGCAGCACACTGGGCACCTGCCTCAGGCTGAGGCTGAGGCAGATGCCCAGTGGAGGGGGCCCTGCTCCAGGAAACCCTGGAGGGCTGGCAGGGCTGGCAAACAGCAGCAGGTGTGAATAGAGTCGGGTCATAAAGACAGATAAGGACCCGGGGGTAAGGGGCAGAGGACGGGCTCAGGGAAGTATGAGGGAGGCAGGGGAGACATCCAAGGGACAATGGGGAGGCCCCTCCTGCCACTGCCCCCTTACCCCTGTGGGCTCGCAGGTGTTTCATCCTCACCAAGTGTTTTGGGTTCCCTGCCCCCCTCGTGCTGGCTCATGCCCTCTTGTCCCTAGCAAAGCCCTTCCCTGTGTGGCTCCATCTCAACCGGCCACATTTCCCTAATCTCCCACAGCCCAGCTGGAGGCGCTCTAGGAGGCCCGCTCCATAGTTCCCTGACACTAAGGAAGATCCAATTTCCAGAAAAGGTGTCTGGCCATGACAGCCTCCCTCAGGGATGGGTCTTTCCACAAGAAGAAACACGGGCTGGGAGTCAGGAGACCTGGGATCCGGGGGGGTGTCCTGAGATCGCGCTGGGCCCCGTCCACTCCTGGGAGACAGTAAGACACGACAATGTCTGAGGGCTGGTCCAGCTCTGAATTCCAAGTACTGGAGGGGAGAACCTCCTGGAAGTCTTCGTCTCTCTCTTGTTGGAGGCCCCTCAATCTCCCAGCCTATTTCAGTCCCCAGCCCTGCCACCTTCCCCTTCTTATTGTGT